GGGTGGGTGGGGTGCAGGCCGAGGGGGTGGAGGGGCCTGGCTGGTGGGTATTTGGTGTCTGAGTTTTGCTCACCCCTACCTTCTGCTCCAGACCCGGCCCCCAGGGCAGAGTCGTGCTGTACTGTGTGCTTGTGTGGACGCAGGCCATGAAATACGAAAATATTATATCTCCCAACCTGTCAGCTGGCTGGCACGCCCAGTTCGTGTTCTCTGAAATCAAAGAATGAATTCTAGGAACAATGGAGGTGAAGAGCAGGAAAATATTTATTGAGAGGACAGCTCCTGAGAGGCAGGAGGGGGCCCGAATGTGTAGCTGGGGACCCACTTTACAGGAAAGTTTGTAGAGCACAGCCATGTGGGTACAGTGGCTACAGGTGTAGTGTTTTCACCTTTTGTCCTGACTCTGGAGGGTTTAGTCCTCTCTGACAACCCACTGTATTTCCTATCTAACGTAGCTGTCTGTGACACTGGGGATTGAACCCAAGGCCTACATCTTAAGCCCTTTTATTTTTTATTTTGGTCTCACTAAGTCACTAAGTTGTCTAGTCTGGACTTGAATTTGCAACCTTCCTGCCTCAGCCTCCCAGAGTGCTGGGATCATAGGTGTGTGCCACCATCTTCTGCTGCAGTTTTTTCTCTCATCTTCTTTTATTTAGTACCAGGAAGCTGCAGTTTTCTTAAAAGTGCATTTTTGTTTGTTTTTTTTGAGACGGGGTCTCACTGTGTAGTTGAGACTGACCTGGAACTCACTATGTAGCCCAGGTTGGTCTCGAACTCACAGCGATCCTCCTGCCTCAACCCCCCGAGTGCTGGGATTATAGGCGTGTGCCACCATGCTTGGCTAAAAGTGCAATTTTAGAATTTGGATTTTTCTTGTCTCCTTTTAACTGTCTTTATTTTTTTCTGCCTTTTTTTTCTTTTTCAAATTTAAAAAATAATTTTTGAGTCTCATGTAGTTTAGGCTGGTCTTGAACTCACTGTGTAGCCCAGGCTGACCTCGAACTGCCAGCAGTCAAGTACTCCACCTTTCAAGTACTGGGATCACAGGTGTGCAACGCCATACCTGGCCACCTGTCTATTTCTTCTATCCCACCTCATTCCCTGTGCCGCTGGGGGCCTGGGCAGGTTCCTAGTCTTCTCTGTGATTTGCTCTTATGATTTCTGCATTTGGCTACTGTCCTTTGTATGACACTGACTGTCAAAATACACATGTAGATGGCGGATGACCGGCCTCAGCCCCCTGTCCTTGCCCTGGCCTGAGCCCCTTATGCTCAGACTGACCCTGTGCTTTTGTTTGTTCCCCATTTTCCTGCAGGCAGCAGGGCCTGACTCAGCAGCCAGCCCTGGGGCCTTCCCTGCACCTCAGGGGAGGGGCCAGGCTGCCTACCTGGGAGCTGTGGCACCTGGGGCTTCCTCATTCTCAGGTGCCCTGGCAGTTCAGCAGCTGCAGGCGGTGGGTCTCCTGGGTTCCGCTTCTGGGCACAGCCTCTCAGCCTGGGAAGGCCGGCCTCGTCATCAGCCTGGGGAGTGGGTGGGACTGGCATCTCAACTTTTATGTTCTGATTTCCTTCATTGGGGGAAACCTAAGTAGCTTTGGGAAGTTAAGAGATAACCTGCGTATCTTTTTCTTTGAACTGCCTTTGTCTCTGCCCCCTCCCCTCCCATACTGGGAATTGAATCTAGGACCTTTGCACTAAGCTATGGCCCCAGCCCCTTTCTTTTTTTTTTTTTTTTTTTTTTTTT